TAATTTTATTATTTCAATAACATACAAGCTAACAAGAATGGGATACTGCTCAGGTTGTGATTAACTATAGCATTCTTCTTATCTTTATGAATTTTATGTTTTTAATAAAATTTGAACATAGTACCGACTTCTTAAATTTTTTCGTACGAGATTATACTGATAAATATCATGATTCATGTCTGTCTTCAGTGGCGAGGTTAAAATTGATTATCTTTTCCCTTCTGCACTCAGTTTAGAGGTTTGTAGGGATTTGTTGGTTTCATGGTAGAATTCATCACTGGCTGACTTCAAGTAAGAAAAGCTAAGCTGAGTATAAAATACATGCACAGAACATCAACATGAAGTGAACAGCCAACTTATTTTCACAAACGGGTATGTAGAAAAAGTTATCTTACTCACTGCTTTTCCAGCCAGATATATAATATTTATTTCAAAGACTGTGTTGAAGCAGAGTTAACATTCTTTGTTAGTACACTACTAAAGAAAACTATGTGAGCAATTTTACTGATTACATTAAAAGAATACAAAACCAGTCATCGGCATAATCTTTAATATGATTAAAGTCCACGATCCTGTATCCAGGGTTTGAAAGTATGACCAAGCAATAGAAGTAGATTGGAATGATTTCTAAAAAGCATATGGAACCATGGTCACCAGAAGCACAACAGATAAGCTGAATAATTGGTCTACATTATTGAGTGGAGAAAGGCAAATAAGTAGTGGTTTGAGACTGCTTTCAACTAGTACGCAAAAGAACGTTTCCATATGCCTTTATAATTATTGCGGAGAGACTTCTGTTAAAAATTGAATCCTTAAACATTTCTATAGCTTGAATGAGAAATAGTTTTCAGTTTCACTTTAGAGTTTTGTGGGTTTTATTGATTCAAATGGGGTATCCATTACAGGCTGACATTAGTTTGAGAAACGCTCAAACATTTTTCAAAACTTTAACTTAAAGCCTTCCTTTCCAAGTCCACACGACAGTTGGGAAAATGGTTATTGCTGCAGTGTGGAATAAGATTGCTGTAGTCTTTATTATTATTTGTTATAATTTGTCCCTTGGGTTCCTAGAGGAATATAGGGCTTCAGTTGCATGTCACCATTTCACTCTCTTCTCTCCAGACTTTTCAACCTGGCTCCACCACTACCCATAACCATTCATTCCCTCCTCACACGATCTCCTCCGTGTCACCCTCGCCTCGGACGCCCAACTAGTCGTTTCCAATTTGGGTTCCATTCGAGGGCCTGGACTAGCCTGGCCTGGCCTGGCCTGGCCTGGCCTGGCACGTGGTGTCCCCAATAGGTCTTCTCAGTGTATGTCCAATCCAATCCATCTCCACTTTCTTCTGCAGATTTGTTGGGTGACAGGTTCTTGGTTGGTTCGTTGCCAGCCAGCCAGCCAGCCAGCCAGCCAGAGTTCCTTGTTGCTTATTCTTTCTGGCCATCGAAGATTCAGTAACGAGCCAGCGTAGGCAGTCGTTGATGAACATCTGCAGTTTGTTGGAAATGCTTTTCGTAAGGTGCCAAGTTTCTGAACCATCACATAGAAGCACTGACTTGACTGACATTAGTGTTGGGAATCCGGATCTGAATCAAGCTTTATGCTGAGTGGAGTGGAGTAGAGTGCAGTGCAGTGCAGTAGATCTCCACACTGGTTTCTGGTTAACGAAGGCCTGTCTTGCTATCTTTTCGATGCTGACTGGCTTTGACGTCCTCATCTGTGCCTGTGCCGCCACCTGTAGTTGAAACGATGCTGTCTAGGCAGATAGGTGAAAGAGGCTACTTCTTTTGGTTTCTCCCGTTCATGGTGATTGATGCTTGTTGTTGGTTGGGTGTCTTCATCACCTCTGTCTTCTCCACGTTCACTTGAAGTCTCTGCTTCGCTGCCCTGCCTCTTCTGTCAACTTGTTGGTTTTTGCCTGTAGATCTTCGAGTTTGTGCCACAAGACATTAGACATAGATGATCATCGGCGAAATCTAAATCTTCTTCTCGGGTATTTTCATCGGTCCAGCCAGTGTATACCAGTCTTCTTATTCACTTAAGCTACACCAAGTCACCACAAGAATATACCAATTGGCAACAAGGTTACGTCAAGTGACAACTGCTGTCATAAAAGTTATCCATCGGGTGAAATCTGCCCTTGATGCGTGTAAACAGAAATGTATGTTTTCTCCTTTCGTTTATTGCAACGTCAACTTTGAACAGTCTTTATATTGTTTGTTGTACTGTTTTTACTATGATTATTAGAAATATCTTATGTTGTATTTACAAGGTTTCCCTGATGCCTGAACGTTCTAGAAACAGCCGATCTCATCTCAATACAGTTCGTGCACTATAACCTTATAACGCTTTTGCTTTTCATTGTATCTATCGATTGTAAATCTCTTTCCAAGATGTATATACCACGAGAGGAACTAATAACCCCCTTACTTTCTGTCATATTGTTTGACCTCCGTGCATTATATATATATATATATATATGCCAGGCTTGAAAAATAATTCGCGGAAAGAAGTCCTGTTCCATGACATTAATATGTGAATGAATAAACCAGTATCCAATATATCCATGAAAGTTATTAGCTAACTTAGTTTGACACCATCTTTACTGACCTCCAGTCCTCAACAGTAACATCGAAATTATCCTCACTTTTGATCCAAAAAACAAGTTGTATTTAAAAAAATACCAAACATTTGAACATAACAGAATCGGTTCCACTTTACAAGCCACTCAGTAATCACGACTGAAATCTTAAACCCGTCGGTTCCATTGATGATACTTTTGATGTCATAGTTGCCTTTTTGAAGTAATAATCAAAACTGATACAGCAATGAAAGATGACTATTGCCGTAGGCGGAAAAGAAAATTCAGTGGAGAATGTTGTTGCTTTTGATGATATAATCTTCATAGTTGTTCAGTCGTATTGATACTTCTTTCAAGCAGATGACGGTCTATTGTTGTACGATATGTTGGTGAGGCATCCTCAATCTAGTGCTGAAAGTTGCTTCCAAAGGTAATGCTATCCCGTTATAATCCATACGGCAATATGGATATTCATATATGCACAGAACTTGATATATAGTGCAGTGGTTCAGTGTCTACTGAATAATTGTGCCTGTTTAACTATAAAAAATTCACGGTGGTTTACAAAAGATGCCACTACTTTTCACTTCAGATAGACTATTTAACTTCATAGACACAAAAACCTGTTCCTATATTCTTCTCCACTACATTAAAATCTACATACAGATTCGGTATAACAGTCACCTAACATTCCTGTCAGTTTGAAAAAATTACGGCTGACTAAAAGTCTACATACGTGTTATTGCAATGATTTATCAGCTTATGTGGATACTAGAAAAATGGGATTAAATATTATAGTTTCTAGGTAAACTAATATAAACCAGTAATAAGGCATAATTATTTTAAAAAATGTTTATGAAAGAAGCAATTTGGTGAAAGTAGACTGGTCCTTGATTAACAGGAAGATCAAGTTAAAAGTATTTGAAGAAGGAAAAAACAAAATTAGAATATTACATAGGCTATATTGAAGGTCTTATTTGTTTCTTGAAGTAAAGATGCATCATCTCGACTGTTTTTATTTAAGAAGACTTAGTGTTTCACTCAGATTGTTCGTTCATGGCCTCTTGAATATAATTGCAACATTTTTGCAAACGAAGCCTGCAAGTATGGAATTTAGGCACTGTGGTAGAATGTAATTCCATTTTAGATTAGTCTATTTGATATTGGATAAAGTGATATATTATTATTTACTAAGTGACCTTTCAGGCAGAATGCATTGCTCATATTCATATCATATAATACGCCTTAATATAATTATGAGTAATAAATTCTTCTCAAACAGTCATCTAGTGAATAGTACTGGAATCCTGTATGCTATATCAAATAGACTAATCTAATATGGATGATTATAAAACAAAGTGTAACTATTTTCATTCCATCAACAACTTTTCTCAATTGTTTATTTCAGTGCATAAACTTATCCGTAAAGTAACTGATTTCTGAATGAAAAGTAAGTCACATGCCTATTCCTTAAGAGAGCATCTTGAACTATATTTCTGAAACACAGCTCTGAATTCCGAAGCAAAATATTTCATGGGGTTTTCAATACATTTCTCCAACAGACAGAAACATGCATGAGAGTATACAAATCATTTTTTCATAGCCAGTATGGTAAGAAATACAGAATTATTCTACACCTACCTCTTAATGACAATCCCATTCAGTTGCAGCTAGAAGGATGATTTTAGATGGTGATTAAGCAGCTGGCTATCTCCTCTGAGTCATTGCAGACTAATGAACTACGAGTTATCAGTTTTACTCCATACTTATGATAAATTACCTCGTCTGTGATTGAGTTTTATTACACCATCGGTTTACTGATGACCAAAATTAATAAACCTTTTCTGAAAATTTATATTATTTCCATTTTCGAATGAAATATACCACTGATTGACAACAGGATTTAGATTATCTGAATACTGAAAGGTATATTTTCTTCACTTGAAAACCTACTTATTGGTGTGAATATCACTTGTTAGTTATGCATACATAAATAACTATGTGATCAGACTGTTGGAAATTTATTACAGTAATACATAATACGTAGCAGATAAACTACATCTTGTTACTGTTTTGTCAAAAATTTTGAAAGGGGCCGATTGTTCTACATAGCACATCTTTGTTAGTTAGACGAGCTTAACACGTTCAGAAATGAATAAGTTATTTGTGTTAGTTGCATTCTGAAGAGATAACTGCGTATATGAGTTTAGCGTAAGCAGAGAATCCACAGTTCTGAAAAGTTTTTCACACGACATGACCTGTATAGGTATAGCCTGTTCTTTGATTATTTGATTCAATTTATTTGGTATGAACACATTCTGTAGAAATAGGAGCTACATTTAACCGTAGAACAATAAGTTTGTTATGGAGTAATCTTTTTGATTACTTCAAAATATAACTGACCTACAATTTACCTACCTTGGTTCATTCTCTGCTCAATTTCACTGTATGATCCAACAGGTATTTGTGTTAAACCTTGGACATAGAACCCTTGAACTGGTGATTGACGTATTTGTAAATTTGTTTGCGGTGTCTTATCTTTTGTGAGGAGATCACGAATTTGTTCATTATATATTTCCATCATAGACAAATTAACTTGGAACTTCTGTAATAATTATTTAGTGAAAAAGACATTTTACAACAAACTTCTACTGGCAATCAAAAGTTACCAAATTATACATCAAAGAATGGTAACTTCAAATCTGTTGACAATGCAGCTAAACACAAAAAGGCAATGAGATCGATCGCTTAAAAATAAAGTTTTATTTTCAACAGCCTTTCTAGTGATGTATGAAATCATGAATAAAAGCTAAATTTAATCTGATTTCTAGAGATACAAATACTTTTTTTGCATTTACTGTAGTATTTCAGTAACAGAATCAGAAAGATTGTAACTAAACTCTGAATTCAAATTTCAGGTATGTGCGGTTAACAATGCTTGACTAAAATTATCTGAAACGAGGCAAAGGTTAATGGAAATAAGTTCATTTTAAAGTGCGCGACTATTTTGAAAAAATCTGTGTTGCAACACGTTTGGTACCATCTGCAAAGTTGTAGTGATGGACAGGCAACTAATCGGAACACCCAGTAATGAATAACATATACTTAAAACATCAGTGAGGTCAAGCGAACCAGAATGAGAATAGAACGAATTCTCCTGGATAAAAAAAACGGATATCTCTACGTAAAACATTTACACTAGCGAATGAAAACCATAAGTTTAGAAGCAATAGGATCAAATATTCAATCATTTACTTTTCATTTACCATGGTTTTTGAAACCAGCTGCTAAATTCCACGAAATTAATAATGCTTTGTGATACAAACTTTTATTCAGACCATTGAGAAAATGCACTAGGTCGATACAGTAAAACAATAAACTATAATCATAGGTTTATTTGAATGAGTGTCAGTATTGTCGCTAGTTTTTTCCAAAGAGAAATAATAAAGAGATGGATTCGAAAAATATTTCAGCTATGCATTTTAGAAACCTGCCACCCTTAATAAATAACCTTTTTTCGCATTATTCCTATTGTTCTCAACCTAAGATTCAAGAGCGAACATGAAACCACCTGGTACAGCTGAATTCAGATTTTTTTGAGGATACTTTTCCGCTTTCGATTGAGGTATGAAATATCCTGATCTTTGGTTCTTCAGCAACATCTTTCTAGAGATCCCAACTAGTTATTCACAAACAAGTGATTCAATAGTAGCACAATTCTCCCTTGACCGCAACGTCGTTTCGAAACAGTGAGTCGAGAAGACTCGTTGATGAGAATTTTGAAAATACATCAAGTTAGTTATACAGCTCTTCTCTCTTTAAGATTTATAATACAGTATGGTAACGTATAGTGTAACAGAAACCTGGATCAAAAGAGAGTTCGAACCCGAAAACTTCAGGTTCTGCCCTCCTTCGAACTAGGTATGTTATAAAGTTGTTAACATAATTTTAATCTTACTGCAATCACCAAAAGATTTCATCCAATTCCATTTGATACCGACTTTATGTTAGCAGGCCGTTAATCATTGGATTCTGTTAGACATTAACTAAAGCACATGTTTCCTCAAATAATTGGTTTCTCAATCACTTTTTACAAAAACTCAGAATGCTTAAGTGATCTTGATTCTCATCAGCATAAAACTTTCCCACTTATGAATTACAGGAGGAGGAATCATACTGTTGTTTACATTTAGTGATGCCAGAAGAACTTTTAATAGTTGTAGTTACAAAGTATTTAGCTTCTGAATGTACAATCTACCTGCAATTTACTTTAAATGGACTAACATAAAAAAGCAACAAGTGCTTGGTGAATATCTTATTAAAATTTACCTTCTTCTGATCCGTACTTTTATCGATTCTTTTAAACAACTCTTCACATATTATAGGCACGATACCTCTGACAAATTAATGGATAAATTAGTTCTTAAACAGAAGATATACCTGTTTGGGCCATAGCCAATCATTGAATAGGATTTTCCAGAACCTGTTTGTCCATAGGCAAATAATGAGCATGAATATCCATTAAATGCATTTTCTAGTAGTCGACAACCCAAATCATTGAATACTTGTTGTGACTAATATACTTTGAATCCTCTCCATTCGGTACTAGTACACCATCAGGTTGGGTTTTAAAACCATCATGTGACCTGAGGATAAGAGAAAATCAACCAGTCATCGTAAAAGTCACTTCTTATTTGGAAAACATGGAACTTGTTTCTAGTGTGGTACATATCTATTAAGACATTTTAAAGTGTTTTCTTGGCTTCGCCTGAATAACCATTCATGAATACCGTTTCAACTAGGAAAAAAATAGGTCTATTCTATAAGGGATATCCTGAAATCATGGAGGGGCGGCAAGAAAATCCACACATTCGGTCTAGTTGAACCTTGTCGGGAAGCAGTATATTTGACATTAAACCACTTGTCTGAAGAATACTATCCTACGAATTTAATAAGTAAGAAGATGAATTTATTGATTTACGCATATAAATTAACCAGAAACAACAAAAGCGATAACAGGTTTTTTCTGAGACAGTTTTTTCACGGTAAAATTGTTGGGATGACTTATTTTGACATCTGTGATAAACTGAAAACCAGAATGACTTGTCTGAAGACTATTTTGGAGTAAACAGAGTTGAAGCTGGATAGCACTCAAATCTGAATTCGGAACAAAATCTACACAAACACTCCATTTGTTACCTAGTCACGCACACACCTACCTTTAGAAGTTACTTATGTCTTATATACAGCGTTTTTGAAACGAAGTGGGTAACATTCGCTAGAACAAGGTAAACACTTGCAGCAAAATTTGTGTATAACTAAACGTTTGTTTTCCTTTGACAACTGAGATTCATTTGAAAAAAGTCTACACCTAAGCAGCTCAACAGAAATTGCTGCCTCTTTGGTAGTTTTTTTGGAAAAATAAGGATATCTCTATCTGATTGACTACTAATTTTTCATATTATAAACTAAGTAACTTCGACTGCCATAGTGTATGTATTTTGGAATAGAGGACAGTACAAAGATTCTGAGCGGCAAAATAGTAAATTGCATTTCCTACCAAACTGCTACCACTTTTCACTATTATTCCAAAGCATATTCAAGTAGAAAATGTATATATTTCTATTTTTCAGACTATGTTTGAGAAAAGCATAGTCCAGCAGCAGTTGCGTTACAGCCGTTATTCAATAAACAATAGCATTACCTTCGAAAGACCTTGTATAGATATTTGTTATAAATGTCAAAATGAAATTTTAAGTTAGCAAAGAAAAAGGTAAATAGCTTATAATCATATTCATTTATTTCAATCAAAAGCTTAGATTTGACGTTAGAAGTTTCGGCTAACTTACCAGTATGAATGGTCAAATGTGAACTGCTTAGTATCTTTCTGGTCTGAAATAAAGCGAAGGAAGAAGAGTTGAAACGTCTACAGAAACTAACACAGTTTGATCAGTTATTGAATAAAGAAAAAGCTTTTAGGCAATCCATATAACTTTTGTTTTGAGTGATGATAAGGAAGAGAAATTGATATGATATAAACTTGAATACATCCTTCTCACAGAGACTATCATTACTGATCATTTTCTATACCTTTCATCTCCTTGGCGAATTTGAACAAAACAAGAACCAACAAATTCTCAGAATAAAATGACGTCACGGCAGCTATTCATCATTTGCATACAGCCTCTAAAATAACGAATTTTAGTCACGACATGTGATTATTCTCATAAGATTGGATAGATAATTTTAGATCTATAAAAGTTTTGTCAAACAAATGAACATTCAAGAGAAGAGAGTTGCTAAACTATTGAGAGAATACGTAAGCCAGCGAATAATCAGAAAAGACAAGAATAAATGCAATCAAAACTCACTGGAATGCAAAGAAAACATGATGTAATCAAAATCATACCGATTAACCAGGGTTAAGAGGGAATAATCACACGTTATTTTTGTTCATCGTTAGGTTTAAAATGTCTGCTGCAAAAACTTCAAAAAAATTGTAATAAACTTGACAAATTTTGTTCATTTTTTATCCCGAAGGTTTCGGAGATATTTATTTTGGGTCCATTTTCAAATAGGCATCTAACTATTGCACCTTTAAAATCTTTGTGCTCTATCAGGCACAGATTTCTTGGAACATGCTTATAAAATCGAGTAGTTACCCTTCTCTTAGTTTTCTTTTCGTGTTTGTGTTCATGAGTATATAAGACACATAAATTGCAGCTCATTCATCCCGCAGATTAAATAGCGAACTTGATAGTTTAATTACTATGCAAGGTAATTTTCTTTCTCAATTATTCACTTTATCAATGAGCATAGTAGCCTAACAAGAGAACCTATCATCTGCTGTCGGGTCTTTCGGTTAATCTCCCTTAGTCTTACTTCAACAGAAAATATCTCAGAGCTTAGACAGTAAATCACACCTTTAGTTTTCTAAATTGGACAGAGTTTATCCTTAGTCAACGCATATTTTTTAAGATCCACAGACCTCATTGGATTCATAAGTCATTCAACGAATCTGCACAAACATTGCTTTTTGTCTGTAGATTGCATGTTTATGGGGAAATGACAAGGAAAATGGCTTATCTGTATAAAATTAATTCTATTATGACATATTCTAAATAAACACTTATCATATGTTTGTTTTTATATGACTTCTCATCTTTACAAATATTCAACATTGAACTGGGTATCATTAAAAAACTTATCCACTTACAGTGTATGAGTATTGTAAAACAGACTTTGATCCATCTTTCGCCAACTTTCGAATTAAATACCTTACATCAGTTTACTTGAAATCATGTTATTATTATTATTATTATCATTATTATTATTATTATTATTATACGTCCTCCATAATTCAGACTCATTTATATAAACCTCATATTCTTGGCTATGCATGGAAGCAATCATTCAGTGAAGCATGTCAAAATAAATCACTGGGTTAAAGTAATGCACTTTTTATTCATTCGCTAGGCATTAACGCTCTCCTAATCAGATTTTACCCTCAAACAAATTTGTAGCTACACTGGATTGTAACTTCATGAGAAATCGAACACTGTATCAACTTTTCGAACGGCTAATTGGTCATACTTTACTTTCAATGGTTCGTTTAGAAAGAATTTGATGAGTGTATGTGGTGTCATCATTTTTTCTCCATTCCAGTTTGAAAATACCCGATTAAACAACTTTCCTTCTTACTCAGGTAATATTTCCTTCCCACCTGTTTTTATCTACTGAACTTCTTTTTGACGGATTATCCCCTTTGGTTGATTATCAACAATTCTTTTCAGCCTTTAAGTGAATTGGTTATAAAGCTTTTCGAGGAAGAAGGCTGAATATTCAAGGAACCCTTGAACTAGTTTCCTTTTATTCAGTAATAACAGTCTTAAGATAAGATTATGTACGTGACTTAGATTCACTTGAATTTCTCAAGGAAGTTTTGCGAAGATGCAATAAAAAACGTCTGTCCAAGAGTTTTACTTTCAGCTTCATATTACAACAATGATGCCTCTTCGAAGGTATCTATAACCTTATTTATAAGTTCTTATAAGCATATGCTTACATTTCAACATGTTTACTCATTCAGTTTTAGGTAATATTCTGGTTTCCATCAATGATTACGGATGTGGCGCACAAAGTTTTATAGTCATGAAAGAAACACATACACTTCACTTAGCATTGGTAAAGCTCAAGAGTAAGTAGGATGAAACAATCTGACGAGAACTTCAGCGTGACAAGTTTGTTTGACACTTTCAAACCGACGTTGACAAGGAAACCGTATTGTTTAAAATGTTTCTTCATGAAGTGTTTTCGAATGTATCCTACTGGTCGTGATCCGAGATATGCTGTTTCTCATCATCATATTAATCTAAAAATATACTTGAGGGAAAGAAACTATGCCTTTAATTTAGTGAAGACAGCTTATTTAATCCAGTCAGTTCCCTCCCATATATCATTTTATTCAATCACAGTTGGTTCAGTAGTTTACCTAAATCCAAAATCTAATACAACGATGGCTGACTTCAAGTTTTGTACATTTCAAACTGATCTTCCGTTTATGCCGGTTTCCGAGGCATATTATGTCATATCATTTACTAAGTGTGCAAGTAGCTGTAAACCGGTAGATATATTTCTGTAGTAAGACAATTATATCTAGCTAGAGAATAGTCGATACATTCAATTCCTACAGCAACTGAAACTTCAGTCCATAGAGAAGAGATAAAGAGAAATAAGGAGTTAACTCATAAATGATTTACTAGTTCTTCAATAAAGTCTTGGAGTTAAAGTTGCTGCAGTTTGTCAAATTAACTCAGGTTTTCTGAAACATCCTGAATTCGGATCAACATCTATGTGAGTAAATTTGTTTAACCATGACGTCAAACAGTAAAAAAGCATCCCTTTCTTAAGGTGATAGTGTCCATTAATGTTGTATAGATATTTGTATTATTCAGTAGCGCAGTCATTTCAGTTCCGAAACTTCTTTGGTAATGTAAACCTGGTTATGCCCAAATAAAGTGTATTTTAATGAAAAAGCTAGATCTATCGAAGTTTGGTAGCCTAGAATTCACTGTGATATGAAAATGATTTGATAAATATTTTATCACTACTGATTTATTAGTTCAACTTTACTAATAAGCGGAACATTTAATCTCTAATGTGTTCTAGACAAGTTAGTCGAGTTTACACACCACTTACTAAACAGGAGTATGTTGTTTCTCCTACCGAATAAATCACCAGCGCTGGCACAAAAACAGTAGTATTTCAGACACTCACCTATTATATTACTTTTTACTAAACTTAGGATGAATACAGTCCCAGCAGTCAAGAAAAAGGATAGTGGGCTAGTAATCTATGTTAATTCTTGCTGATGATAGTGCTATGGAGAGTTAATCTCTCTTTAACAATGTCAAAATACAGTGAAGACACTGTGTCTCTCGGTGGAAAGTTATAGCGGTCCACAGTTTAATGCGAGAAACATGTTTCCGAACGTAAGTGATTCAACAGTGGTTTATGAACTCTTAGGTGATGTCCTTTGTGATGATCGTTTGAAGAGGGTAGAAATAAATTAGCTAAGTTAGAACTTGAATCATTATTCAAGATAAACTGCATTAAAATTAGATCACCTCTCATCCTATTGTAAGACAGTGAAAAAAGAACTAATCTACCCAGTTTTTCTGAACAGGGGAAGTTGATGAGCCCTTTGAGTATTTTCGTCCCTACTCTTCAAACCCGCTCTAATATATTCCCATATTTGAAATACGGGTACGTTGCCTAAATCTAGCACCTCACATGAAACTTTTTTGATGTTGATGAATATTACACCAACTGGAGCATCCATTTTACTAGTAGCAGCCCAATCTCCTTTTGCATTAATCAGATGTTTTAAGCATGAGTGTCCGGCCTTAAATTCATACAATTCCAAAGAAAAATCTTATTTCTGTTGAGTTGTTACATAGTGACACCACAGATGATCTTTTCCAAAACCCTAACTACTATGCTAGCCCAATTAAGCTGACAATGATTAACCATCATATATCTATCTCCAGTTTTACTGACTGAAGTGATGATGGTATTTTTCCGACCCCTAGAGGATTTGGATTGATTCAGTGACAAATTAAGCATCCAAGAAAGTGGTTCGGTGTGCTTATTAACTAATGCTGATAAGTTGGGTAAATGTATCTCATGTGGACCAGAGCACTTTTCCAGGTTGAGGTCCTGGCTTAGTGTTAAGACAACCTACTGCTCAATGATTATTGGTTTTATTTGTGGGATTTCACGGGTGACGAAAGTTTCATAACACTGAATACAACCTTCAGAAAATACTTCACTGAGGTATTTTTATACAACCTCAGTTTAACTCGTACTATAACCAGCTAAATGCGTTGAACCTTCACCCAGCATAAGAGCTGGGATTACTTAGTTCTTCTTATTTGTTCTCTTCGGATAGCACTGAGAACTCTACAAGATCTCCTTTTCTTTTATTAGCCCAGATTTTTTAACTGAACTTTTATAAAAACTTTTAACGTCACAATACCTTAGTTTACACTAACCAAAACCCACTGTGATAGGGAGGTTCCAAAGTGCTTTTATTCGGTGGAGTACATTTTTAGCCTCAGTAGTTACCCACATAAGACAATTAGTAGGCCTAACCCGAACTGATCGAAGTATGTGAGGAAAATTAACGGCTTTTACTGTCTTCTTCAATTTACTTTACTCCTCATCAATAAACTATATCACATCAACTGACCAGTTAATGGATGAAGCATTCTCTTTTGCACCCATTATGTTCGTTTGCAATACATTTGGATGTGGCTGAACAAAGTCTTAAACCATATCGTAAAACTTCAGCGTGGTCACTGTTAGCTTAAGGAAGTAGGACATGCAGGCTG